GACATGGCCCAAAGTTTAGCCCAAAGTAGGCCCAGAACAGATGTTTGTTGAATCACTCTCCACTGCAGAAGGTCACAGAGCCTATTATTTTCATAAGCATGCCAGGGGTTCCCATAATGAAGTAAGCTTGGGAAGGTCTGATTTTATGCAAACATTATTTTGGAATCTATATATATATAAAGAGCCAGGGTCCATAACCACCAAGGCTCCAACAAAACACCAGAAGTCAGTGCTGGGTTGTTGTGGTGACCCAGCACTGACTGCTCATGAGGTGCGGATCAAGCCAGAGAGAGGCCCAGAAAGAAAGAGAGGCAAATTCTGATCCCCAGCCTTCATGGCAGCTGTGGATCAGCCAATGTCTCTCTTTCTCTCCCAGCTTTGCCAACAGCCAGGCCTCTGTTTCTCTCCAAACCTCTTCCAGGGCTGCTGATTAGCCCCGCCTCTTTGATTAGGCCCAAAGATAGGCCTGGAGACACTGACTGGCATAGAAATTGACCAATCAGAACCAAATCTGGGTGAAGTGCCAGGAGCCAATGGCTGCCTAGGAGGCAGAGCTTTTGTTGCTGACTAGCATAGAAACCAACCAATCAGCCCTAACTGGTTTGGCTCAGTGGATAGAGTGTCGGCCTGTGGACTGGAGGTTCAATTCTAGTCAAGGGCATGTTCCTTGGTTTGGGGAACATCCCCAGTAGGGGGTGTGCAGGAGGCAGCTGATTGATGTTTCTCTCTCATCAATGTTTCTAACTTTCTCTCCCTTCCTATCTGAAAAAAAAAAAAAAATCAATAAAATATGTTAAGAAAAGAAAAAAGAAACCAACCAATCAGAACCTAATGTGGGTGAAGTGTGAGGAGCCAATGGCTGCCTATGAGGCAGAGCTTTTGACACTGACTGGTATAGAAACCGACCAATCAGAACCTAATGTGGGTGAACTGTGAAGGCAGAACCTAAGGTGGGGGCTAGAAGGGGTTTTAATGGCAACAGCTGTTTGGTGTAAGGTATAAGAAAGCAATTCAATTTTTTTCATGACTGGTTTGGTAGTTTAGTGTATATGGCTAGCTATCAGTCTAGATATAAGGATTATGTGTTTTTGTCTACCAAGAGCATCTTCTCCTGCTGAAAAAGGCTTCCTTCCTCCCGCCCCCATTTAAGAAATCCTATCCTACATAATCTATCTATACTACTAAAAGGGTAATATGCTAATTATACTGGGTCAACTGGCCATCTTCCAGATGTCTGGCTTCCTTCCAGACAAAGCCATGGTGGCAGGGGCCAAGGCAGAGGCAATTAGAGGCGATCAGGTGGGCAGGGGAGTAGAATTGGGGGCAAGATCAGGCTGGCAGGGGAGGGCAACCAGGCCATCAGCGAAGGGCAGTTCTGGGTGAGATCAGGCCAGTGGGGCGGGGGGGAGTTGGGGGTGAGATCAGGCTGGCAGGGCAGGTGAGCCATAAGAAGACAGCAGTCCCAGATTGCAAGGGGGATGTCCAACCACTACTTTAAGCCTGATCCCTTAGGGAAGGACATCCTCCAAAGAGTCCCCCAATTAGAGAGAATGCAGCTGGGCTGAGGTACACCCCTATGCACAAATTTCATGCATTGGGCCACTAGTAGTGAAAATAAAGGAATTGAGTAAGGGAGTGCTGAGCTGGTAAGAGCTCACTGACATTTTTCAACCACCCAGATGATATGGGGTAGGAGAGGGAAAGAAGAGAGTGTCCTAGGATAACAAATAATGGATACTTTTCATAAGTGGGACAAGCATAAAAGGTAGTTTCCACCCAGAAGGACTATACCATCTAATCAAGTAAGCATCTAAACAAATCAGCAAGGGCTAAAAGAAAAGCTGTTGCCTTGCAAGCAATGGATCTATTAGTGAATCTTTCTTGGAAGAAAATAGCTGGAAATTAGTCCTATCTTGAGTGGTGATTGCCTACAAGGAAAGTACAATAAGGAAAGTACAATCACTTCTCCTTTATGGAGATGATCCAAATAGTTGCAGCTTTTTAAGAAAGGTTTAACCCTGAAAATAAGGACTGGGAAAGCACTCAACCCACTTGTACAGCAACCATGAACTTAACCTTAGTGCCTTAGGTTTACCCACTACCTCCAAAAAAAAGACAATTACACACATTTAAAACTATTATTTGAATTGCAATTCTTATTCTATTATGTAATTCTTTCTCATCACTAGCACCTGAGATTAACTGAGAATTAAGGTAAATTCATTTATGACACACCTTGAAATTCATGTGAAGAACATGAGTCATGTCCCTAGCTTCCTGATATTTTCCACTTGAATATTATCCAGTGCTGAAAGCATTTTGCACTTAATCCCCTGAGTTCAGAGCTGAAGCACTTATAAGTCTTCTGGAAGATGAGTTGTGCTAACATGTGCATGTGGCAAACAAGCAAAATTACATAAAGTGATCTCTCCTGAGTGTCATTCCTCATCTCTGTGCAAAACACTTCTGTCTTCTGTGCACTCAGCTGGCCTCAGGGTGGTCCAGGGAGACAAGGACCCATTAGATATAAGGAGTTACTGTTTATTGAGTACAATGTGCCAGGAGATGTGCTGCTCTTCCAGTTACATGAACCCATCTTCTGCTTCTCATTAGCACTGGTGTCCCACTGACTCTGGGAAAACCTTCTTCTAGTCTTCCTGTGCTCCATTTGGCTCATCTGTAGAGTAAGGGTGAAGCAGAAATTTTCCAAACACCCTTCACCTCTCAACCTCAGAAAGCCTACATCAGTATGAAAAGCTTCGCTGTCTCTCTGAAAGTACCCTCTTCATATCCACTGCCCAAAGTCAGGAAACAGGAGCCAGGAGCCAAGAGCCAGGAGTCAGGAGCAACCCAGAAAGGAAATTGAGAAAACAATAGCCAAGGCCCAACATCCCCCTTTCCCTGGAGTAGCCTCAATGCCAAGCACAAAGCTCAGAGCCAACTCTTGTTCTTTGTCTTCTGAATTGAGGCTCAGAAGGGAGCTTCCTTATGGCCACTACTGTTAAGAGATATGGACACATCTTTGATGAAGCTTATGATATTTAGGAGTGTGAGCAATTATTGTCCCATCTGCTGTCATGGCCCTCCTCCCAAAATAAGGGGAGGGTTTACTGGCCCATCGTAGGCATTTAATAAATACTTACTGAATGAATGAATTAAGGAAGATCTAATGAATTAATGTTGGGTAGGTAGAAGGATGGATGGCTGAATGGGTGGATGGGATTAATAGGTGGATAGATGGTTATATGGGTGGATGGATAAATAATGACTGAGCAGAAGCTCTGATTCCATGTTTTAAAACTGTTTCTATGTCTAAAAAACGGTGGGACCTTGAAAAGATATTTAAATTATCTAGGACTTAGTTTCTTCCTATGAATGTCAGTCATAAAAGTCTCTACCCTCATTGGGTTACTGTGAGGATTAAAACAGATAATCTTCATAAACTGACCATCAGTTTGGCCAGCACACAATAAGCATTAATAAATGTAAGCTATTCTTATTAAAATATTGAGTGCAAATCATCTTATTAGAAAGAAAACCTTTAATCAGTCTAAATAATGAAAAACATGGCCTACCCAAAATTCAAACCTATAGAATTAGCAGCACATTGTTGGCTCTCCACCCCTAAACTCGTCAGGAAACACCCGTGGGAGGTATTTGAGAACACTACCTGTACACTAAACAACAGGAGCTCAGTGAAGATTTGTAATGTGAACAGATGGAATGAACTGCATGAGTGAGAGAATATGTGAACAGATGGGAAAGAATGAAAAGGAATGAGAGATTGTCTAGTTCAGTGGTTTTCAACCAGGGGTGATTTTGCGCCCCAGAAGATATTTGACAATATCTTGGGACATTTCTGGTTGCCACATGTGAAAGGTACTATTGACCTCTAGTGGGCAGAGGCCAAGGATACCTCAACAACAAACAGGAAAGCCCACTACAAAGAATAATCCAGATCAAAATATCAATAGTACAGAGCTTGAGAAGCCCTGATCTAGTTCATTGAATTTAAACTCAGCTCCTCCATAGTATGTCTGTGTCTCTGTGTACTAGTATATCTGTGTGTGTGCATGCATGTGTGTGTGTGTGTGTGTGTGTGTGTGTGTGTGTGTTTGGGTAGGTCTGCCTAAAATTCAACTGTTCTAAGGACCACTTTGTATGTATAGTATACCTTTTTACGTCCTTATGGATTTATATCCATCTCACTGCCAGAAAGATCCTGCTATAATAAGTCAAATTGAAATTGCCCATGGGAGTCACATTTCTGAAAGACTGCAAAAGTTGCTTGTTTTCCAATATAAGGAAACCACAGTATCAGAATTTCAAATTGTTAAGGGGCCCTTTTGACTTGGGAAAGCAGAAAATCACCTTATTAAAATGTAATTTGGCCATGGAGTATTTTAATAATGGATTAGTTTAATAATAAAAATATTTCAATTTTGTGAACATTTTCTTTAGCAATTTGGAGATTTTCAAATAAACCAGCAGAAATAAGACAATGATTGGCTATATGTTGGTCTCTATTGCCACAAAGCAGTCTGGAAATGTGTCTGTGGGTTAAATTTTAATCTTAAAATTAGAAAATTTTAAGAGCTATCATGGAAATTCGTTCTTGAAAAACCTCCATTACAAAATTATGGGGCTGCTGATTCAATCCAGATACTGAGATATATAATGCACTAACTGAATTTTATTTCTGCTTGAATTTCTGTAGCATGGACATTCTGCCCCACCAACATGAGACCTTGCCTTTCTTCCTGTCCTGGTACAACCCCCACGCCCACCCCCGTCCCACCACACACACACACACACACACACAATTATAACTATTGACATGGAGAGTTCATATTGGCATTACTTAGGAAAACTGCCATTGTTGTATTTTTATTTGTACAGAATACTATCTGGCTCACAACTATGATGGTGTTTTTTCTGAGAGTCTGAGCCCCAGAAATGTGTTTTATGTCATTTTAAAAGAACGAGAGACAAGTGCTTCTTTGACTTGGTAATATTTATTCAATATTCCTTGAAATTAGCAAGAATCGGAAGAAGCACATATCAATCAAATACAGCCACAAAAAAGTCCTCGTATAAATAAAGATGCACTATGAGAAATACTCGCTATGGAAGGGGCTGATACCCTCTTACATTTACTATCTCTTAGCAACAGACAGTTCCAACGTAAATGTAACTTGCTCACAATTAAAAAGACCTTGACTTTTCAAAGGAAATATAAATCCAATTCTACTGCAATTGCCTCACGAGGCCCTTCCACTTAAGTATATTTTCAAGGCCTAGCTTGATGACTATTACAAAAACAAACTCAAAAGAATGGTTTCCACAGGTTCAACAAAACAGTGCAGAAATAAGTTACTTACCCATGCACAGAATAAGGCAAAGGCTAATTTCATTCAGGTTAGGAATAGTAAAGGTAACTACTTTCTTTTTCACAAAACAGACATTTCAGACTTCTTTTTAAGTCACGGGGATACTGTACTACGCATCATTTTCTACGTGTTTCCTAACTCTACTCAGAAAGCCACACTCACACGTTAACTAGAAACTTCTCCTTGATTAGACTATTTCTGTCACAGCCACAGAAATTAATCTGGGTGTCATGATAGGGTCTACTGTGGAAAGACCACACACTAGTCGAAGCTTAGGTTTTAGAGGGATGAAAGTATATTAAGACGTAGTCTATGGACTCCTCAAATTCCATGTTTAAAATATGTGTTTCAAACTAAAAGCTGCAGAAAATTAGTTCTTACATATTCTACCGAAAACTCTTGAGCAGCTAACATTTTAAATTTCTTAAGCTTTTTATTTTCTTAAAAATATTTCAATGAGTGTAGTATCCCATCTTTTTGAAAAATAATCCAAAAAATGACTACAAATCTTTTGTTTTAATCAGTGTGACCAAAGGTTTGTCATCGGGGCTGTAGTCCTCATAGGCGATGGGGGTCACGTCATACATCGCAGGCCGGGATTTCTTTCCAAACCTAAAAGCACAGGAGAGAGGACTCTAGTTAGGTACAAATTGGATCTCAAGTCCTATGAAAGGCAAATGGTAAGAATAACTTACATTCAGGAGTCAAATGGAACTATAAAAATACCCTAACAGATATATTCTTTAGCAAGAACAGAAATTTAAGACTTCCTCATAGTAACACTGAATGAGTAAAAATATTAGTCTTCAGTGCAGGAGGCAAGAAATGGATTCCACAAAACACAGAGTCCAAATTAAGGTTGAAGCTTGTAGGTTAAATCTTGGCAAAGCAGTCAGGCATGACAGCTCCACAATAGGATTTAAAAGAACATATATTGATTTATCTTTTTCTTCTGAGACCAGTAAGGATGTGGAGAGGCAAGTTTATTTTACATTCACCCTGGAGCTTGGAATGCACAGTGGCAGGGTGGTCTTCCCCAGACCACGGACAGACAGCCTCTCCTATGAGACTCGCTGGAGGGCTGTGAAGGCTCAGTGATCTTCTGAGGCCCCAAGACAAGAAGGGGTGAGGGAGGAAATGACTTCAAATAGGTGTTTGTCCACAAAATGTGCCATCCAGTCCCACTTGCCTATTACTCCCTGACACCCGTGTACACACACGCCATTGTTTCTTCCCTGAGTACAGAGCCATTGTCCCAACAGATTTGTATATTTCAAAATCTCCTTGACAGCAGGGCTGACAAACAGAAGCCCTGGGCGTCAAAATCCAATTTCAGGACTTCCTGAAAAGTCAGAATCAAGATGGTGATGATTACAATTCAGCCAGTTCAGCTTCTGGGTGGTCTCTTCCCACTTAAGACTTCACCTTCCCCCAAAGCCCCTGCAGTGCAGTGGGATTTAAAGGATTGAACCCACTCCCCACACGCCTTTTATAGAAAACAGGTTTTAACTGTTTCGAGTCCACTGTGGCCCATTCAAAAAGAAATTTTAAAGAAGCAAAAATTTTTAAAAGGTGGCGAGGATGAGTACCCTAAGACATAAGGGGCTAATTTACAGTGCCTTACACGTCGTCTCCCTCCATCCTACTTCTTCCTTTGAAGTCTGTCTTCTCACGTACAGAGACGAAAGGCAAAATCGAATGGGAAATGAGAAACACTGCATTTTTATGTGATATTTTATTTTTAAATGTTTTTCTTTCATGTATTCCCGTTCATTCAAGATTTACTGGCCTCCAGGAGCACAAAGGCATAAACCATGCCCGGTGGGTGCCAGACTCATGCAGAGACAAAGAGTTAAAGCATGCTGCCACCGAGAAACCACAGCTATTACTGCAACGTTCAAGTCATCAATAAACTCGTGTCTAAAATGTGAAGACTCACCAAAGGTCTGGGATTCTGTGTGCATAAATGTGTACAGCCTGCTGCGGTCTTTGTGTCTCAATTGAGGGAGGCCTGCATAATCTGAGACTCAGAAAAGGGGCACCAGTGTAAAAGCCAACTTTTACTCAGCCAGTGTTAAGCGAAAGGGTCTTAACACTTTCTCCCAAGTCTGAAAACTTCAGAGAGTACCTAAGGTACAAATATTTGGACAATGTATTTCTCCTAAAATAGCCAGCTACAATGGTAATAATATACCACCAATAATATTAATTTTAATTGTATATTTTTGAAGCTATGGAAAAGTATAATGTGGACCAGGGGTCCACTACACTACACTACAGCCTGCAAGCCAGTTGCAGTCTGTATGGCCCACAAAGTGTAGCATTTTACAATCCCAGATAAGGCCACAGTCCCTCTCCCCAAAGGATTTAGTATGGTATTGGCCACGTTAACCATCGTGGAAGCACTAACAGAGTCATGGGAATAGTAGTATCTGTGTGACAGGCATCTAAATATCATATTTGGTGATAAGTCTTATGTACATTATTTCACTAAAAAACAAACAAAAAAATTCCACAACTACTTATAAGGCAGATCATAGAGTGCACATTCTTCTAGTTCATATTCCCCTGAAAGCCAAAAGCTAAAACAATGCCACAAAGAATGTCAGATGGGTCTGACCTTGAAAAAGGCCCACATTGGGAGGTGGCATTTGAGAGAAAGTGACTGTTTCCTCTTGTAGCCCTCCTTTCTTTTTATTTTCTGGGATCAGGCACTTACAGCTGGTGGAGCAGCGAGCTATCAGGTGTGACCAGAACTTGGAGAGTCACGTCATCGCTCCCACCAGCCAGTCAGTTATAATTTCTCTCCAACCTAATGGTAAGCAAAGCAGCTACAGAGCTGATGATTTGTAGGATAAGGGGTTATTTCTCAACCCAGCATTAGCACCAACTGATTGCTGACATCTCAGTCACCACACACTTCCTCAGTCGCTCTTAAATGTCACAGGTGACCCACTCAGTTTTCGTCTTGTGTGGTTGTTAAGCTGCAGTCATTCTTATCCAATGACATGTCCAGACTAGCAACGGAAGACAGGCTACTGCTGAAGACTAAGGGGAAAATAATATCACAAGCATTGTGTTTTGTCAGCGCTTTCTATGGTTTCCAGGAAAAAAAGAGCAAAAAGGGTCCACCAGCCAGAGACCCAGCTTGGGCCTCCAGAGGGCCATGCTGTAGAAACCACAGGTTGTAACTACATAAGGCTTCAGATTGGAATGTTCCCAGAGATGGGGTAGGTACTATTTTGACTTCAATGGCTTTATTTGCAGTCACTGGTGCATGGAGGAGCTTGTTGGTTAGGAATTCTGCAATAAATATTTTTTTTTAATAAAAATTGGCACCAGGTTTAATAATAAGAACCAGGTTTGTAAATGCTTTCAAGTTTATCCTTTCCTTCCAAGAATATTCGGTAAATATCTTTCCAGGGGGCTCTATAATCAGGAAACCCAGAGGGATCTGTTTTAAACTATTCTGAGGCCAAAATAAAATATTCTTCCTCTTGACTGCAAACACATCTTACTTAGCTAGGAGTCCTCTCGCAGTGGAAGAATCCAATTTCTTGGGTCTCCCAGTACACCCCAGTATAAAGAGGTGACATCTGCTCCTTCCTGGTGAACTGAATCCCTCTGGGAACTCTTGTACAACTGAACTTGTCTATTCCCTCCTTTTCACATTTTCTGTGTGTCACCCAATGATTTCAGGACACTGCAAAGACTCCTGAAGGCTGGTACCATCCACCAAGCTAGTGTCTGGAATGAATCTCTCGCTTAGAAGATGAAGGCATCTTCCGTTAACCGTTAACCAAGATCATCCATCCATTTCAGACCAAAGTTTAGCAAGACCTCAAATTTTAGTAAGGTCTGCTATGTACCAGGACCCACTGGAGATAAAGTAAGTAAGTAAGTAAGTAAGTAAGTAAGTAAATAAATAAATAAATAAACCTCTGTTTTTATGCACAAGCTAGTGGGAAAATTAGTCAAATAAACAATTAAGATGGGATTTGCAGGGATCGATCTCAGGGCTTCCTGGAAGCTGTGTTGTCCAGTTGACTCTTAATGGAAGGAGCAAATGACAGGCAGCTATGCAGGGCTTGATATGGGGAGGAATGAACCCTTTTTTCCTCATAGTTGTAGTAGTCAGGCTCAGGCTCTTGCAAGTCCCACTAAGAAGTTGTCCTTGCTGGCCCGAGGCATGGGCAGATGCTCTGTCTCTCAATTCCTCTCTTCCACTGGCTCCTCTACCTGAAAGCTGGGGACTGGCTTCTGTTTCCATTGATGTGGCAACATTTCTGTAAGATCTAAGTGTTGGGTTTCGAGTTTCCTTTTGAAGAAAGCAAACTTTCTGAACTTCTGAGCTTCTTTGCCATTCAGACAGAATTTGGATCTGCTTGTATCAAAACCAATATCAATATACGATGGCCCAATCAAAGCAGCTGAGAGTACCCTTGAGCTCTAATCTTAAGACACCAAGTTCAGCCCACTTGTTACTGTAGCATGCTAACTTTCTGAATTGTATGAGTTAGCTTGTTTTGCCAATGAAAACACACAATATCATTATTTTTGTAATAAATATTTTTTTGCAAAAGTCAACAACATGTTAGATTAGCTACTTTTTTTTAATATTACAATAGATTTGGAGAGGTAAATATGGTGTTATCTGTTTGCACAATCATTTATTAAGTTAACTTGATTGCCATAACTTCTTGGAAGGAAGGGAACTGTATTGTGGAAGGTTAAATCATCTAAAATCCAGAGTCAGATAATGGAATAATTGGGCTCAATAAAATATCTCAGACACCTGAACTCACATTCTTTCTGTGATAGCACACCAAATCCTTGTCCCTTTCTGAGTCTTTCCTCCAGCAAAGGACACTGTTTTATATACCGTATTTTCCGGCGTATAAGACGACCCCCTAATTGTACAGTTAAAACATAGGTTGAGGCCTATATTGGCTGTATAAGACTACTCCCCACTTCCGAGGCAATACCAGTTCTTTTTTTAATAGACCGCCTCTCTGTTCTAGTAAAAAGTCTGCTCAGATTGGCCAGAGTCAGAGAGGCGGTCTATTAAAAAAAGAACTGGTGTTGCCTTGGAAGTGGGGGGTAGTCTTATACAGCGAATATAGGCCTAAACCTATGTTTTAACTGTACAATTAGGGGGTCGTCTTATATGCCAGAAAATACGGTAATATAAACTCTATTTTTAGAAATAATTTATTTTTCAATTACATTTGACACCCATATTATATTAGTTCCAGATGTACAACCCAGTGACTAAATCCTATATAATGAAAGGGAAATATGCAAATTGATCCTAACGGCAGAACAACTAGGAATGACTGATCACTATGATATGCACTGACCACTGGGGGGTAGATGCTCAATGCAGGAGCTGACCCCCTGGTGGTTAGTGCACTTCCACATGGGGAACGCCACTCAACCAGAAGCCAGCTCATGGCTGGCAAGCACAGCAGTGGTGGTGGGAGTCTCTCCTGCCTCCAGGGCAGTGCTAAGGATTTCTGACTAACAGTGCGGGGAGCGGGCCTAAGCCATTAATCAGATATGACATCCCCCAAAGGCTCCCAGGCTGCCAGAGGGATGTCTGACTGCCACCTTATGTCTGATTCCCCAGGGAGCAGGCCTGACAGGTGGACATCTCCCAAGGGATCCAGGACTGCAAGAAGGCGCAAATCAAGTTGAAAGACCCTGCCCCTCTGTGCATGAATTTTTATGCACTGGGCCTGTAGTATTATATAACGTATTAAGTTATCATTCTGAAAAGTCTAGTATCCATCAGACACTATACATAATTATTATAATATTAGTGACTATATTCCTTGTGCTGTACTTTATATCCCTATGACTATTCTATAACTACCAATTTATATTTATTTTTTTTTCCTTCACCTTTTTTCACCCTTCTCCATCTGGCAACTGTCAAAATTTTCTCTGTATCTGTGAGTCTGTTTATCTTATGCTTGCTTATTTATTTTGTGTTTTTTTTTTAGATTCAATTGTTGATAGATTTGTTTTTATTGCCATTTTGTTATTCATATTATTACCTTTTTTCCTTCTTCTTTTTAAAGGAAACCCTTTAACACTTTATGAATATGGGTTTGGTGGTGATGAACTCCTTTAGCTTTGTCTGAGAAGCTCTTTATCTGCTTTTAATTCTAAATGATAGCATTGTTTGGGTACAGTTATCTTGGTAGTAGGTTCTTGCTTTTCATCACTTTGAATAGTTCTTGCCAATCCCATATAGCCTGCAAATTTTTTATTGCGAAATTAGCTGACCTCATGGGACCTCCCTTGTAGGTAACTAACTGCTGCTTTTAATATTCTCTCTCTCTTTTTTTTAACCTTTAGCATTTAAATTTTATGTATTTTGGTGTTGGCCTCTTTGGGTTCATCTTGTTTGTGACTCCCTATGCTTCCTAGCCTTGTATGTCTAGTTCCCTCAGCAGGTAAGGAAAGTTTTCCATCATTATCATATTTTTTCCACATGGGCTTCCCAGCAGCAAATGATAGCTGTTAGCCATTTTTAAAGTTATCAAATGGAATAATTTATATCTATGCTGATTGTTTGGAGAGTAATATAGCTAAGGACACTCCAAATATAAATCATCTAAAATTTTTCATTCAGCGATTAAGAATCAGATATTTATCCCACAGAGAAACACAAATTGATAAAATCAGAAACCCAGCAACCAATGAAAAGGGGTTTGCTTATAAAGCAGTCTTATTATCAACCCCCAACAACATCCAATAGGTTCAATAGTACCCTGAACCTAGGTTTATTCTGTGAAACCCTCTTTGTGGGTGTAAAGTCCTATGTACAATATAACCCTGGTCCCAAGAGTGCACATGTGAAAGCAGCCTGTCCCTTTCCCCTCCTGCTGTCCCTGCAACAGCCCACCTGGCGTGCCGTATGGAGGCGATGGCGTTGCTGAACTCGCTGTCGATGCTGCGGCAGTTGTAGAACTCCTCATAGGCCGGCCTGGAAGAGCCCTGGTACTCGATGCGGCTGATGCGGCAAATCCCCACAATCAGGATGATCAGCATCAGGATGAAGGCAACGCACAGGGCCCCGATGATGATGTAGAGGGAGTGCCGGGGCATGTTGGTAAGACTCTCTGCCATGTGCCCAGACTTCCACTGGAGGTCTGAAACAGAGTCGATGGTCAGAAATACAAGCAGTGTAGGCAGCTCATCAGGCCTGGGACAACGTGCCAAGCACATAACCCTGTACAGTTGTCTTTCCACTGTCCTGGCCTTCTGGTTGTGCACACCCTGTGTGCACACAGTTAATATGATGTGTAAACTCTTTGTGTGGTTATGCATCAACCATAAGATTTCACAACCCATGTGGCCCTGTTACAGCAATCAGATCTGAGCCCTCCACCAAGTTGGAGCAGAAAGTGGTACTGGCTGCCTTTGTGTTGATGCTAAATGGGTGTTAGAGCAGACTCTGTGAGTGTTGGACTCCAGCCTACAACTGAATTTTTTTAGAGAATGTCAAAATACTTGGAAATCAAGTGAGTCTCACTTCTGTTTCAGCCAGAAAAATGAGTTGTCTCTCTCAATGTGCACCAGGTAATGCCAAATGCAATGACTGCCGTTTTCTGGATTGAATCTTGGTTCAAATTTCACAAAACACATTCTCTCTTCCATTATGACCATTTGTTTGCAGTGATTTCTGCACGTTGTCCCAAGCCTGATGAGCTGCTTGTATTCCTGACCATCGGCTCTGTTTCCCAAAACTCTGAGTTCCAAGATGATTGGACTTTTAGGAAAACTCAAAATTTCTCCTAAAACCTCTGCTTCCTTCTGCCTCACCCTGTGTTTTTCCCACCTTTACCTTCATCTAATGCTTCTCTGATAAGTGAATGTGGCTGCTTTGCACACTAATCAAGTTTAGAGCCAGGTTGGATCTGAATAAATCCAACGCTTGGTCTGAGGGGCAGCAAATTTATCTGCACCAGGTGGCTGCAGCTGCTGACTCCTGGTCCAGGAGTGTTCCTCATAAGTCATTGCTTTGCTGCATCCTGGGAGTCCCACTGCATGAATCATTTACTATAATGGCTACAGTGTGGCTGGGGAAGAATTGCACACCAGCACATGCTGCATGGGATGGTCTCAGCAGCCCCAGCAGGTGCATGACCAGGAATGTATGCACACGAACTGTCCAGGAAAAATGTCACACATATGGGCCTGAGGGATAATTTGTGTTTTGGTTTAAATTCAATTTGTTTGAGGTTTTGTATTTTCCAAACTGATTTCACATTTAACATTTTCACTAATTGAATGCATAAATCCAAGAGAACCTATTCTCCAATTTCTCACCTGCAGAAAGAATATCAGTAATCCAATAGTTTGACCACAGATTCAACTGTTCAAGGTCTATTATTGTGTAACTGTCAGCCAGCAAGGTTGACTGTAATTCTAACTGTATGAACCTTATAGCTTCTACACAGATGATACAAAACACCAAGTAAAAACTAATAGGAATTCTGATTTTTAGACCTTGATTCTAGAAATGGAAACATTTTATAAAAATACATACACCCCCCAAAAAAACTGTGATCAGTTCCAAGGTTGTAAGAATAAATTGCAGTAACATTTTACCAGGGTTGTTTGTTAATTTCAATAATTTAGGGTTTGTATTTGCCTCAGAATATATACAGAACACCAGTTATTTGAATGGTCCTTTTCAGGTAATTCTGGATCAATTTTGTTGATCATTTTGATACATCTGTATGTTCTACTTGATTACTGCTTCTTATTACTTATAGAGGGGGGGGGAACAGATAGTATATCTAATGGGGCAAATTTCTAAGCAACTTTCATTATTAGGGTAAACACTGGCCCACAGGAGGTAGCCATGGAAATGGAACCACTAAAATATTATTAATTTGCATGTAAATTCTATTGAGGTAGCAGGATCTCTAGTGAAGGCTCCTGGAAGGATTGATTCCATTTCACGTGCAGTGCCCTTCACTGAGGTCTCAGATATCAGGATGTGCATGAACTGAAACTGAGATGTGTCTGCTGAGAAGAAGAGACTTGTGTTAAAATCCAAGGAAAGAGAGCTTCAGGCATAAGGAACATGCCAAGACCCTGAAGACAGGAATAAATCTGATCTGCTCATATGGGCCTGCGGGATAATTTGTGTTTATCAAAGTAAGAGAAAGCAGGACAATGTGGCTGAAGCAGAGTGAGTAAGAAAGGGAAGTGGATGGTATGGCCTCCAGAGGCAGAGGTCAGGCCGATGGAGGCTCATTTACTGCCTTCAACAACTCAGTAGCTCTCCAGACCACATAGTTGTGTGAGCTTCGGTCTTTCTGTTCTGTGTGTATCTGAGCTTTCCTGTTGAGATCTACTAACCTGAACTTGTACCATTTAGGCACCCTCTTCATGGATTCTGGCCACTTCAGAAGCTCAGAGATGCTCAGGGTTATTAAGAAACCTCTGTGATCCATGGCTCACACAGGACTGGGGGTCTCTTAGACCTTCCCTGTCCACTGACAGGCCAGATTCTGCTTGCACACCTGGTCCTTGGATTCCTCCATTTGATTCAGATCCAAACTCTAGAGCAGGAGTGGGGAATGTCCAGTCGTGAGCCTTATAAGGTCCACAAAATCATCCTGTCTAGCCCTGGCAAGGCATTAGGAGTGAGTTAATTAAATGCTTGACCAAATATAGCAGGCTAGTTTTTAAGCTGATAATTTTGCATGCCCTGTGAATGATATTAAAACTAGCCAAATGGCCCTGGACAGGAAAAAGGCTCTCCACCCCTGTTCTAGACACTGTACACCAGTTCCAGCTATATGTCATCACAAACCTCCCACACATGTTCTCCACTGTTACACTCAGGTCAAGGTGACGTACCCAACACTGGGACCCACAGAGCTAATTTATGATAACATTTATTTAACACATTGGGTAAATGCGGTGATGCAAATGAGATCAAGTGGAAAGTGTTCTTCTAGGCAAATGAACAGCCCCAGTGTGGACAAAGATGTATGATGTGCCCCAACACCTTCGGCTGCTCATGGTGGCCCATGCCCTGCAGGTGCATTGGCTAAAAAGACAATTGCAAAGGTCCATCTTCCCAGGAATAGCTCATCGCATAAGAGCTAAACAGTATAGAATTAAAGAGAAAGAGCAGCTAGCATTTATTTACTGCTTATTGCATAGCAGAAATATGCACACATTTGCCTCCTTTAGTCTTCACACCAACCTTACTATAACCATTTTACAAATGAGAGAAACAAGGCTCCCCAGGATAAATGTGTCTGGATGGGTCACATAGCTAGAATATAGTAAAGCCAACTTTTCTCCCTTTATTATTTGTGCATGTTTTGCTAATATCATCATCACTGGGAGGAATTTAGATTTTTAGATTTTTTTGTAATCATAAGATAAGATTGTACTTCAAAACTTCTTGAGGGTGTCCCATGTGTTCCTGACTTCTTATTCATACTTTACTATGTATTTATCTTTACAATTAAAATTTTAAAGTTATAAATAGATGTTGTTCTGAGAAATGTGTCATTTCATACAATTATCAAATTTCAGAACAAAAAGTGGTCCCATTTTATGGATGAGTACACTGAGGCTCAGCACAACCAAATAAAGCCACACAATGAGTAAATGGCCAGATGAGAAGCAAGGCCCTATTGGCCCAGGTCTGTAATCCCTTCCACCAAAGATCCCAGCAGAGTGGACTTAATATCCTATACCAATATTAGTTTTAGCATCCTACCCAAATCATAGCACTCAGCATTTTTACTATTGGAATCTCTTTCTGTCTCTTTCTTCAAGAAGAGAGTATTTATGATGTTCAACAAGGACAGTTGGTCTTAAAACCATTCTGTTTGGGAGAATTTGAGAAAGTTGAGGGAGAGGCTTAAAAATAATTACCTTCTTTCCCTCTCAAGCTCTGAGCCAAGAGTAAAGACAAAGAGTGAGCAGATAAGAGCCCAAAGGGTACTTCACTATTGGTCAAGTTGATGGAGAATGTGGTCCACACTTGTGAATAACAAAGCTTCCTAACATGGACCAACCCCCACCTTAGACACATGCTAAGAATTAGCCATCCAGCCACAGGCCATGTGGACCACCAGTGAGGGGGCTATTCTTAGAACAGTAATAGCATGGAGGACTACAGGCAGCAGAAGGGCCTGCTCAGAAGAAAGACAGACAGACAGGCACAGAGGCACAGACAGGAATCCCTGTAAGTATTTGCCCCCTTCCAACTCACATAGCAGGTAAGCTAACTTTACATGATGATGAGTAGGCCAGGGGGTGAAAGGCCCCAGGAGGGAGCTTTTATGAAAGGTTCAACCCCCTTGACCCATTTAAATAAGAATAAAGGCAGCTTTCAAAGTTGAATTTTTAGCAGTTTACAAACTAATGGAAATCCCAATGCCTTGTCAGTTCTCACTTTCACCCCAGTCCTAGTAGACATGGTATTTTAATGCAAAAAAAAACACAACACCATGATGTGACATTTTCAAACTTCTGATAGTTCATCTTTAGAGAACACTTGGCTCTAAGCAGCTCAAAATGTTTTTCAGATTTTCTTTTCCACTCATCCTCACTGGATTTTTTTTTTTTTTCTCCAGGCAACTGATGGAACCTAATATGTTTGAAGACATACATGCAAAGTGAATTTACAGTTGGTGTTTTCTTTTTTCACATTTTCAACACGGAGCCTCTGTTTTGTGCTGTGATTCTAACGCGTCTCTGTTGAGCGCATTTTTGGCTGTAGTAGCAACAGTGAACTCTGGATGACATCTGCACATTCTCATCCCGTGGAAGGGCTGCCTTCAGACTCAGGAAGGAGTGGGAGCAGCAGCATGCGGGGGGAGAGGGGGGCAAAAGTGTGACACTGAGATGTGGGAGGCATGGCGACTCAGGCAGCACTGCCTCTGAGAGTGACCTGGCTGGGCACGGCCACATCCCTTTCTTGGTGAAATAAAACTGGAGGTCTGAATATAATAGCTGGGAGGCAGAAAAACTTACGGATTTCACAGTTTGCTCCCACCCAGCCATGGGGGCAGTGGCAGGTATAACCATTGGGCTGGTCCAGGCAGGTGCCGGCATGATGGCAGGGGTTACTATCGCATTCATTTATGTCGATGTCACACTCTTCGCCTGAGGAGATAAAGAGAAGTAGCTGTGAGACGATCAGCTGCATCACCCATCGCTTCTCTAGCAAAGCAAAGCTCCGGATGTGAGCCCAGGGTTCATGATCTCCAGCAATGGAGCCCAACTGCTGTTGGTATAAAGTGCAGAACTCTCCCAAATTCTGGTCAGGGGATCTTTGACTTAAATAAACTTCTTTTAAAAGCACAAAAATAGCCTTGGTAAAAAAAAGACTTTTCTTTAATCTACTGAACTAGTTAACTAAAGCTGATTCCCGTGTCTGAACAAATTTTCCAAAGTTTATTGGGAAAGCAAATTTGGGTTCCTGATTTCATTAAAGAACTCTATTTTGTATTTAGTCAGCTGAATCTTCTTATTTTTCTGAAACTGCAGATAGTTGAAAACTCAAAGTTTATGGTTGTTTTGTCGCCAAGTGTTTGAGCATGAGTCAGGACATCTGACTATTTTCTGTATTCTTGTAGATCACAGCTGTGTGCCTAGATTGAGTCAATTATGAAAATTTAGCCCAGTTTCCAAATTCCTGGGTATGTTCCTGGGATGGACCAAAATGCTCAGGGAGGGCATTAGCCACAAGGGGTGACAATTGTGAAATCCTGGTTGACTTAAGTTCAACATAATCTTCTATGAGCAATGATGGCCCAAAGGAAATTCACATCCACTCTAGTCTGTCCTTACTCCATAATGAAAACTGTGCCCTGGTGTCTTGACCCCACCTAGACCCAACATTTGCCCCCCTCAGGGAGTGCCTGGTTTAAACTTATAAACCAGAACATGGGAAGATGTCACTGTGATTCAAACATCAATTTACAGGCAATAGCTTGTTTTAGCAGTTATAGGAATAAAACTATCTTCCTGTGAATTAAAGCCATAGGATGAGTCAATACCAACTGGGTGTGCTTATGAAATTTAAAGGTATCTCATCAAAGCTAAATAAAAGAGGACAGTTCAAATTGAGGCACTCTCTCTTAAAAGTTTGAAAATAAGAAAAAAAATTGTTTTGATATACTCCTCCAATTGTTTAGATAAATGTAAAAAAGCTCCTCCTAGCATTGTGATAGTCGTAGAATAAAGAAAATGAGCAAAATCAATATTTTGTCCATTTTCAAAAGGCAATATTTCAGTGTACACTTGGCTAATTACTTCCAGGCTGACTTAATTAGCAATGAAGTGCTTTTCTGTCTGCTATTGGTTTACCTCTCATTTATAAAACCACCATATGTCACCCACAGCCACTTTAGAGGAGGAATCTCACACTAAAATATTTCACATCTGTTTCATTTCACACTCTTTTCATACCTAGCATCTGACTCTTTCATTTTTAAAGTGGAATCTGTCCAACAAAACATTTACTACTTCTAGATCCTACTAAGTTGCCTATAATTCAGTAGTGTCTAAGCTGAGTTTGTTTCCTGCAGTAAATATAGTCATTTACATCAATAGAAAAGACATAAAATTGATTTCCTCTTACTAACCTATTCCAAGGGTTTTCTTTCTATTAATGGGGCAATTGCTCTAAGTGAGAAGGATATAGACTAAACAGTTACAACCAAGCATTATAAGGTAGACTAGTTGAAGGAGCATAAATAAGGATGTACTACAAAATATTAAAAGGATGAAATAAAAAAACCTTGACAAATATATGCATCAGTGCTATTTTCCAACCATTTAGGAAGACAAGCTTAATTGAGGTATCTATTCAACAACAGCTTTCTTTAGCTGACAATGGGAATACTGCATGATTCTGAAATAAGATGTCCCATGATCTTTGCAACAATAGCAGCAGAAACGACCTAACTTCTCCCTATTAATTCCTTAAAGCAGTGGTTCTTAACTTTCCTAATGCTGTAACCCTTTAATACAGTTCCTCATGTTGTGGTGTCCCCCAACCATAAAATTATTTTTGTTGCTACTTCATTATGAATGAATTTATGAAACATAATGTAAATATCTGAGTTTTCCGATGGTCTTAGTGGACCCTGCTAAAAACACTGCTATTGAAGGGTTGCAGCATTAGGAAGGTCGAGAACCACTGCCTTACAGTACAGGTAGTCCCAGGATTGTATGTCCAATCCAGGACTGGGAGTCCCTGAGCTTCACCAGGGAGGTAAATGCCAAATTCAGGATCCAGAGCCACCTTAATATGTGTATTGGTTCTTAGATCTTTCAGGGTCTCTAAAATAGTCAGGAGAAATCCAAAACCCCTAGATTTGTCTATTCTAGGGACTCAATAGATTGGATTTGGTAGGTATAGAGAATGGAGAAAATAGGATGAATTCTTTCTACAGATACTTGTCAAATATAAAAAACCCAGAAAGAATCCCGAACCTATTCCAGTCTGACTTCCATCACCACAGAGTTCTTAGATTAGATGACATTAGTTAATAATATAAACTTCATGCCAGGCAAAGGCCCAAAGAGCTAGCAGCTATTTCCACACATGTGTGCTCTGGGAGAATCCTGGAGTGATGCATTGTGCTCAGAGACCTGTAGATTTACTCTATTGGCCTATTTCACAGTCTAACACTCCTATGCTTCTGGTTGAGTCAGTTATACCCCAGCTGGCTCTCTGATGCCTTCAGTGAGTCACATGCTGGTGGAAGGAATATGGAATGACTCTGATGATGGAGCCAGTCAAGAAAAATGTCAACCAGAAGACTCCCAAAGAGGACTGCTTTTTTCTGCCTTACTGAGCTCATGTTTACTGCCCATCAGTCATATGTGAGGTATTTGAAGAATTATTATGAATGATGAAGAGCAAGTTTGAGTTCATTTGCATTTTCCCATATTGAGAGTATTATGTGTTTTTATGCATTTCAACACCCCACCATTCTAGCTCCAAGCAATGTATATTCTAGCATATTTTATTAGAAAAGTTCTTAGTATGTCATCATTTTTTACTCATATTTGACTTAATAAATCTTTATGCTTTTGCAGTCTTGAGCCAATAACTTTTTCATTGACTTGCTTACTTTAAAAAAATTGAGTTGGAGAAAAATCAATTACTTTTAAATCGCTGTTGTGCACGAATAACAGTTGTAAAGAGAATACAAAATGAAGTTTCTACTTGACTAAGGATGGAAATCAGAGTCTGAAACTTAAATCTTTTCAATTGATTTTCAATCTACTACTTTCTAAAAGGCAATATGTAATGTAAGAATCAAATTTTGTAGTATTTATGCAAGTTTACAAGGGTATTGTTTAATTTTCTATGCTTTCCTCAGATAAATTAAAATTTCAAAAAGATTTAAAAAATTAAAACTCACTGCTATTAATAAATTCTTGGGCTAACAAAGCCCACATTGAATGATATCAATGACAATAATTATAATTGTAATACCTACTATTAAATATATGACTACTACATGCCCCTCACTGGGCTAAAGGCTTTAACTATGCCTTCATACTTGACAAACATTTTATTCCAGATGAAGTGGATCTAAAAAAAGTATTTGGAACTTCTACCATGATGGAAAAACTGGAACCTGTTTTGACCTCCCACTATAAAAAATTAGACAAGTGGATGAAATATGTATTTTTAAAAAACAATTTTAAGACATTGGACAACAGGCAGAGTATGACCGTGACTCTGCCTGAAAGAAGGAAACGAAACAGCTGAGTACCGCCAGCATCCTGGCTTTCTGCCTGGACCCAATTTAGAGCACAATAGTTTCACTGAGCTGCAGAGAACTGGATTTGGTGGGGGCCAAGATAGCTGTAATATGCAGGACAGAGTAACCCAAAAGATAGAGCCACTCAGAAAAAGAGCATCAGAAATATGCGTGTCCCTTGAGTTTGTTACTGAATGTTGTATATGAGTCAATGGAACTCCACTGGTCTACAAACAAGATGAAGGACGAACAAATCCTAAAGCTAACAGAGGACTGGGAGGGATTCAAACTTTCACAAGTCTGAGTGCAGGTATTTTATTGACCAGCCAGTATATTTGCCTTAGCAGTAAGGTAGGACTATCCCCTAAGTAACAGCCCATCCTCCAAAATGTAAAAATAAACATTGAAAGGATCAGTCAGGTTGCCAAGTAACTTACCTACCTGCCACCAAAAAAAGGCAGCTCTCTGATAAGAAAGACAATAAATCCCATCACTCAGCAGCTTAACTAACAATGGCCAGCATTCAACTAAAATTATTAAACATGCAAAGAAGCAGATATATGGAACCCATAACCAGAAGAAAAAATCAGTTCGAAAGGAAGAGTTCCAGAAGTAAGAGATGATGATGATGAGTAAACAGGAATTTCCTCAAAATTTAAATGAAAACATGAAAGAAATAAGGGTAAAAATGGAAGTTATAAAAAACTGGATGGAATTTATAGATATAAAAAATACAATATCAAATTAAAAACAAAATAATATAGAGTGATAGTAATAGATTAGATGCTGCAGAGTAGGAGATTTGTAAACTTGAAAACAGAGCAACAAAAGCTAGAAAAACTAAAGCTCAGGTGAAAAATTAATAGAAACTCAGTGACCTGGTGTACAACCTTTAGTAGTCTAACACAGATGTAGTAAGAGTCTAAGGAAAGGGAGAAAGAGGCATAACAATAATATTTGGTGGAATAGTGGCTACACATTTTCCAAATTTGAAGAAAACTATAAAACCAGATCCAAGAAGTGCAAAAAACCCCAAGCAGGATAAATATGAACGAAATCACATCAAGGCACATCATAATCAATTTGCTAAAAGCCAGCAGCAAAGGAAAAATTTTAAAAACAGTCAGAGTAATGGGAAAAAAAGATGGAATGTTGCTCCCAAAAAAGATGGAAGTTTCCCTATTCCTCCCACTAAGTACAAGCAAAAGCCCTGAACAAATATGAGAAGATTCTGAGAGGTCAAGAGGAGACAGACTGGCTAGGAATTTCGGGGCCCAAGAATGGAAATGGTGAGCATCCTGAGTTTTCTCTTTGCCTCAAATATTCCAGACTAGGTGCTAGAGAAGCCAGCAACCTAGAAATGCCAAAAAGGTGTAAGGT